TCTGCTGCTGCCCCTGTACTTAGTGTAAATAAGGACAATTTGGAGGGCTTTTCTTGGGTTTAACTCTATACATAACATGCTACTTATGCTCATTCATTTTCTATTCTATAGAACCTCTTTTAGGACAATGATTATAATTATTTATAATAGATACATTGCTAAAATATTTATGCTGAGCTTTAAAACTGTATAAGGAAGGTAGTAAATTTTAGGCAGATAGAAATTTTAGAGCTATAAATTGTTACCTGAGTAAGGATCTAGTCTAGTTTCTTCCTTTTAATTAAGATGATAAACTGAATAAATTTATGCCAAAAATTTACTTAGCAACAAATTGTTTTAGTTCAGTTTCTCCAAAATGAAGTTTTGTATAGTCTTTCAAGTGTTTAATACACAGAAGATACTTTTAAAATGAACTGATGATTAATAATGTTTAATGTTTAATTCATTATACTTCATGAATAATGGAAATATTGGAATGATTTCTCTCAAAATAGACTGCAAACCTGTAATGGACATAATATTTAAAGTGTTTAGAGTGATCTCTGATACACAGTCAATGATTAATGCACGTGTGTATGTAACACTGCTGTCCATTCGACATTCAGGGACACTGAGCTATGTGACTCTCATTTGCTCTGTATTCCTGTGATATTGAGTTGTGGTAAATACTGTTTCTGAAGCATTAGACTGATTGAGATTAGAATCCCTCTACAGTAATTTCTAGTGTTAGTCACTCTACAGGAATTCCTATTATTTATCACAATTATAATGTGAACCAGAAATTATCAGCTTGCTTAAGAAAGAGGATCAGGCAAGTGGAGTGTTATGAATCAGAGGTACTAAGAAAGTTGAAGTTTTCTTCAACCTATTGTGGTTTGCAAATATTTCCCTGTTGGCCTCATTGATGAAATAAGATTCAAGATAAACTTCAATGTCAACAGCAAACACACTGATTGTATACTTGGTCTTACAAGGCAAGCATCTCTATGTACTGGTATAAACAACATTTATGCTACCAGATATTACATTAACTAGAGTGGACACAACGTGTTAGTGTTTACTTTTACTTTGTTTTGGGTAAATTTTACAGGACAAAATTAAAAACTATTCTCTGATTATTTTAATTCTTGGATGTAAGTTAAGTGGAATTTAGAAAAGATGAACTTTATATTCTGGAAGTTGCGTCGTACTGGGCAATCTCTTTGAACAGTTCAGACTTTTCCATGTTAGCAAACTGATCAATACTATTCATGCAAATGGAGGGCAGACATTGTCCCAATAGTGCACCTATGAGATCTGTAGGTGAGGGAGACAGACTGTATTATCTTCAGTTAATAGTTCTCAGATTTTTTTTTGTACTGAGAATCTGCGGCAGCCCCTGTTGTGAATCTAGAATTCTGTATTTCTTTCCTGTCGATTTTGGTTAATAGGCCTGTGGGAGGAAGAAATATCTGACTTAAACAAAATACTAGGTAAATTATTCTAACACTTGGTTGCTTGAAAAGTCCTGTCTAAATTACCATTTTTGAGGTAAAAAAGCTGGATAAAAACTCCTATACAGGTCACAAATCATCTGATCTTCTAAAACAGTTCACCTATAAAACTCAACATGCACAGCTACTCCAACCTCTAAATATTTTTTAAAAAAGAATTACTTTTCATTTCACAGGACTCAGTATAACTCCTAAATAGAAAATCAATATAGGAATATGAGCACTGGTGAGCAGGATTTAATATTATAATTTAAGGCTAGTTTAGAAAGTTAGCATAAAAAGAAATACAGATGCCATTAATTGCAAACTGTACCATTATTTTGTATTTCACTTAGAAAAAATGCTAAATATTATGATAAAATGTTTTATTGCCTAAATATTTTATTTTATATTCATAAAAGACTCTTTTAAACTTAATTAAGTTCTGCAGTTATATACAACTTAGTAACAGGAATATATATATATATATATATATATATATATATATGGTATTTTAGTGAGTTGAAGGCACTTATGTTTGACATTTTTATATTGCTGAAATAAGCGGGTAACTTGTAATCAGTAATGCCTTAGCATGGTATCATTGTTTAATGGCAAAGTTTTTATTTTCATGATATATATAAAATAATCTTACCATGCATGGCACCTTAAATTCAAGGAAAGATAGCATTCATAAATATTGTGGGGACTGGAGCTGTAGCTCCAGTAGAACACTCAGCCAGCATGTGTAAAGCTGTAGGTTTGACCCATATCATTGCAAAAATGATTCTTGTTTAGTTTATGCACTTAAAACTTCTTCACACACAGATACATCTTTTGCATTATCCTTTAATCCAATCACCCATTTCATGTTTTCCCACACAATCATCGTTCCTAAAGGGATCAGGGTGCAGCATTTGTTGAAAGACTCAATGAAAGTAAGTAATCTGGACTCTAAGCCAGCTTTGCAACTGAGTGGAACTATCTTATTTTTACAATGTAATTAACATGTATGGCTCAGTAATTCTCCTACCTTTTCCTCATGATCTCTTTGTTTATTATTTGACATGAATTAAAAGATTATGAAACACGAAACTCTGTGGAATAGTTTGTCAAGTTTAATAAAAGGTTAACTCAGAACTACTAAATGTCCTAGAAATTCTATTCTTAGGTATTAAGAAGAATATTAAGAAGCGAAAGCTGGGACTTGAACAGTTATTTATACATCAGTGACCATAGCAGTGACTTTATTCATAATTGCCAAAATTTCAGAATAAACCTAAATGTCCACATACAGATGGATGAACAAAATATGGTATATGTGTGTACATACCACATACCAATGGAATATTATTGAGCTATGAAAAATGAATGCAATTTGATATATGCTACAACACTTATGGGCCTTCAAAATTATGTTAAGTAAAATGAGAAGCAGAAAGACATCATATTATTTCACTTGTATGCAGGAGAGGTTACCTGGGTAGGAAGAAGAGGAGGGGAGGCTTGCGAGTTTAGTCTTTTTTAAATGATGAAAATTTTTAAAAATAGATAGTGATGATACCTTGTGAATGAATGTGTTTAAGGTCACTTACATGTAAATTTATGAATAATTAAAATGATAAGTATTACTTTATGCATGCTTTATCACAAGAAATAAATACACGAAGGGTGCCACCATTGTTCTGTCTTTGTCCAGTCTTTATGTCCCTTTTGACAGACATGAACAACATCCACAAGATGTGATAAAAATATGTGGTGAATGTTCAGATTTTAAAAACTAAATTAAAGTGAGTCACATTGCCATTGATCCCCTCCAAAACACTCTCTTTCATTCAAACAGACTGATTCCATCATTCTTGCCATTCCTCCAGCACTTTTGGAGGTCTCTTTATATAGAGTCTTTAGGAGATGAGGTAAAAAACCCAGTGAATGGTCTTGCTGAGTTTCATTCAGTGGAAAGAGGGGAAATTTATTAGAGTGCATGTTTACCTACCTCATTCACTGCATCTGGCAGTGTGGAATCTCTGGTTCCTCCTGACAGTCAAAGCGACCATGAAAAGCCAACATTTGTGAGGCAGTCTTGTCTGCAACTAAAGTCATGACAGCATTTCTAGAGCCATTTCAGAAAGTAAGAACCTGGGATAGTTGTGTCCAAAGAGGGAGAACGCCTTGAGATGGATTAGAAGCGGCAAGTCTCAAACTTTTTTTAAAGATACTTAAACATTCGCCATAGTTTTTCATTGTCGTTTTTGTGGTTTGGTTTTGTTTTTGGCTCATGGAGGTAGGTCTTACTGCTACCATCACTGGGATGTGTTGATGTACAATTCCAGGACCACCACAATTGCTCAACTGCGGCGTGGACCATGGGCCACCTCTCAGATGTCACCGACATTTGCAGCTCCTCTGGCTGCCAGACTCTTGCGTCATCTTCCACGGGGCTGGGCTTCCACGGCCTAGGTGGACCTCTTCAGCCCACCTTTGTGGGGTTTCTTCTGGGCCCGATCTTGGCCTGACGTTTCTGGAGCAGCATGCCTGGGGCTGGACTTCCACGGGCTCCCACAGATGGGCTCCTGCTTAGTCACTGCTGGAGTTTGTCACATTACTGGTGCCACAGGCCGAACTCCGCTGCCGCTTCCCTCTCTTCTGGTCACTAACGTGAGGGAGAACGCCCAGGGAGACAGTTTCGTCCATGTTTGGGGGCTCTTGGGTCTGCTTGGTTTCTTGTTCACCTTGTCCTTAAATTTAGGCGCTGAAATTGTCCTTTTCTTGCTCCTAGGAATGGTTATTGGTCCAGCTTTTTCAGTTGCTCTGCTCTGGCTCAGCCACCCAGATTGCCATCTGGCCCCCTTCTTAGGTGAGCTCCCCACAGGGGGCTCACCAAAAAAAATTTTAATCACACCTCATGTGTTGCAACTGTGGCCTGACTCACAGCAGTTCCATTAAGTTATGTCATAAAATATGAAAAATGTGTAAAGCGTGTACCTCATAAGCGAGGAAACAAGGTTCAGGAAGTTGAGATAGTTAGGTATCAGTATGTACTGCGCTGGGGATTGAATTGTGCTCCTCATGCATGCTTAGTAGTTTCTTTTCTATTGAGTTACATCCCCAACCCAGCACTTTATGAACCTGACTTTCCTCATTTCTAAATAGGAATAATCTACCTATTTTACTGCATTGTTGTGAAATTAGAGATACTATCTAAAAAATATCTATCACAATATCTGGCATTACTTGCCCTTAGCAATATTTATAATTTAGTACAGTGGTTTTATTCTTAATGACAGATACATGGACATAGCCAATTTTTTATTACAATAATCTGATTTCCACAATATAAATTTATATGAAAAATATTTGTAACATTTGAGGAAACATGGCATAGTGGTTAAGGGTATGGACTTGGGCTCTCAAACTTTATTGGGTTGATTACTAGCTATGTGATTTGGAGCAAACTGCTTAACTTCTTTCTTTCCTTAATCATGATATATGGATAATCAGGATTCAAAATACAAGAAGCTTTGAATATTTTGGCACACAGTAGGTGTATATATCTTTATTTAAATAATACTCTTTCATATAGATTTTTACATATGTTGCTTTCAGATGAATGCTTCATAGGTAGCACATTGGATTATATTCCTAACAAGTCATATTAGTCCATTCCTGTTGCTGTACCAGATTACATAATTTATGAAGGACAGAAATTTATTACATATGGAGGGTGGAAAGTTCAAAATTAGTGCCGATTCAGTGCTGGGTAAGGGCTTGTTCTTTGCTTTAAAAATGGTTTCTACTGTGTCCTCACACAGTGAAAAGTGAAAACTTGCTCCATTAAATTTCTTTTTTTAGGCAATATCCCATTTTATGAAGTTACATCTCCATGATCTAGTCATCTCCTAGAAGCTCCACCTCTTAGTGCTACTACACTGGGAGTTTTGGTTTCAACATGTGAATTTTGGGGGATACTAACATTCAGATCATAGCATGAGAATTTTTTAAAGAAATTTAGTGATCTACATGATTTTTGCCACACAGCTAAGGAACAGTATGCAGTGTTTAAAAGTGGATAAATAAATATCCAATTCACACATCTAAATATTGAGTTCTTGGTTCACAGATGTCAGATTCCTTGGCTGAAGGGAGCCGAGTCCCTATGGAGATATCTTTTGTAACTGGCACACACTGTGTACATCCAGCCTAGGGGAACTGTCCCAGAGGAACCTGCCACATTTGTCAAGGAAACAGAGCAGTAAGAAAGGAAAATGCTTAGAGATTCTACTGGATTTTAATAAATTGATTTTCAGAGACCCAAGTGCTATCATGGTGTCAGTTAGAATGGGGCATATGCAGATCAAGTCTTGTTAATTTTTTTATTTGAAAGATAATAAAACCAAATAAAACAAGACAGAACCAAGCCAATCAAAACACAGCAATGAAAGTGATCCAGGGCCTCAAAAAAGATAATAGAAAATAAATTATCTAATCTGATAATAGAAAAAGAAAATAGAAAACAATGGCTACCACAATATATCTTATTATCATTGAAATAGCTGCCCATGCCACCCAGACATAATAAAAATCAAGCAAAACAAAACAGAAGAAAATCAAACAAAACAAAATAACGAAAGTGATACCAGACTTTAAAACAGGACAGCAGGGAATCAACAATGGTTACCACCTTCAGAAGGAAATCCCTCATGGTTGCTATATTGCGTATCATTATCATCTAAATAGGTGCTCAGATTACCAGCTTGAGGCCTGCAAAGTCAATCAAATACTAAACACTACAAAGCTTTTTTTTTTTGTTTGTTTTCTTCAGTAGCTCTCACTGCAGTCTGTGTTTCTCTGAATCAGCCAGTTGCTTACACGGGTGGGGGGTCTCGTGGTTGGCTCATGGGAAGGAACTGGCCCACATGGATGCTTTTGCATCATAAGAAGTGACTGGCTTCATGTTTCTCCTCCTGGTGGCTCATGATTGCCTCTGATTCATAGGAAGGAGATGGCTGCTTGTTTCTCCCTCTTGGTAGCCCCACAACTGTCACTGAGAAGGGGTTGGCTTCTTGTTTCTTCTTCCAGCACATATGGCTGCCACTGACTGGCTCACGGGAAGGGACTGGCTTCTTGCTTCTCCTTCTGGCCCACATGGCTGCTTCTGACTCACAAGAAGCGGTTGTCTTCTTTGGAGATTGAGTCTTGACCTGAGTTTATTTTATAATGGATCAGATGAAAAAGAAGACTGGCCGTGTGGCCATTTCCTCATTTATAGAATCTATAATAGAAATAAACATCTTTGGTAAGTGGCAGAATCCCCGTATTGGCTCCTTACCTCATGGAGTAAGCTCTATTTCAGTAGAAAAAGGCAGTGACCCTTGACCCTGACACAATCTCTTGTTCCCCATTGCCGTTCTTTTACCCAGAAAAAATAATAAACAAAAAAATACCATATTTCTAGGTAACTACAGAAATTGATACTATTTAACTTACTCCTTTGGTTGGCAAAAACCAGACATCTTAGAAAATAACTGAATTATTGCAACTTAATACAAAAGTGATGACCATTGGAGATAAATTTCTAGATGTGATTTCTTGAGTAGAGCAAATAACATTGTGTTAACTTTCTAATTTCTACCAGTAAGATAATAAACAGTTTGTCTTCATGTGGAAGTACTGTAATCTTTCTTCCAGGCTCAAGGAATAGATGGTATGGACACTTAGATAGAATAGCTGAACTGTAAAAGAGGGTCACCTGCAAGGCATCTCAACCTTCCAGAGGGGTACAGTCAACCTGCTATGACTCCATGGGGAAGAGGGAAGGGGAGTAACACTTAGCTTCAGTGACCCCGTCTTTGATCAATATCTTTCTTTGGCCAAATGTGACCAGAAGCCAGAAAGTAAGAGAATACAAAGAGGAAATCAGTCAGAGTCAGACTGTTCCACAAAGAGAAGAGTGGAGGGTACATCTGGGATTAAGATTAAAAATACTATTCACACTGGTTACTTTGTGAATTTGCTATCAACAAGTAAGACTCCACATACCAGTGGATAGATGAACTCCACATGCACTAAGGTGCTGCCACATGCCTGTAATTCTAGCAGGAGGAGGGGCAGGAGGATTGCAAGTTTGAGCCCAGCCTGGGTATCTTAATGAGTTCTTGGCCTAAAATAAAAAAGATCTGGGGCTATAGCGCTGTAGGAAGACCCTGAAATATATATGAAATACATTCTATTTGTCATACTGAAGAAGCTTTACAAACACTACTATGGATTGACCTACAGATACTTTATAATCACTGTGGTATCTGATGTATCATTGCTTCTGACTATAGAATTTGTTTTATAGCACAGGAAGTGTAGCAAAGGGCTATATAGAATCTCCTGGTTTTAAAAAGTTTTCTTCAAGATAGCATCAGCTGTTTGACTTATAATCAACTGAAGTCTGACAAAGAACCTAGTTGGGACTCAGTAGCAGTTGACCCTGGGAGATAACATCTTGCAAAATTTGTGACCTTGCCTAGAGGATGCAGAGATGTCTTAAACATGTAGGCAGTGTGTGGTGCACCAGCATATTGTCATTCTGCAAAGGCACAGAAAACAGAGGGCAGCAAATATCATAGTCCTTCTTACTATTACACTTAATAATCTATGTAGGAAATGTTCTGCTTAGCATACCCAAAAGTTTTGGTTTAGCATATTTGTTGGGCCTAATGCTCAAAATAAGAATGATTTCATCAGGGAACAATCAATCCAATAAATTAGAAACTGAAACTGTCCTCAGAGCCATTAGGAATTCTCTTGCTTCTTGTTCATGGTACTGGTCAAAGTGGTTGTTTTGAAGTATTCAGGGGAAGCTGGGTTACTGTTACACAATAGGGACCAACACTATGTTTGCAGCCCAGGGTATTCACCCAGAAGCCCTTTGATCTGTGATCATAATCAATAAAAACACCATCAACCCACCAAAGTGATGGCCATCAAAGACTTGGAGCTTATAGACATGAAGGCTTTGGTTAACTCACCAGGGAAAACAGTCTAGTTCATTGGTAGAGAATAAAGCAATCACGGGAGTGGGCAGTAGATAAAAGTGGCTATGGATATCAATTTAGGTCATACGAACAGTGAATCTATTACCTATTGCCAAAATGACATTACAAGACAAGTAATCACAACATTTACTGCTGACCTCTCTGAAGTTAGCTGAGGTTGGCTCATTGGCTCTGCTGATGTTGGCTGGAACCACTCATGTGCTTGGGAATTAGCTAAATTCTGGCTGACCTGAAATATTGTCAGCTAATCCAGTGGAAAACTTCGGTGTGCTAAACACTTCATTAACCATTTGATAGATTCACATTGGCACATTGTCATAATAATGGCAGAAACACAACAGAAGAAATGGAAGATAGAGTGTCTTTTAGAATTGAAACATCATTGTGGCTGCTCCTTCCTGTGGACAAGCCCAAATGCACAGGGTAAGGATAAGGACTTCACTTCTTTCATAAAATATATGAAAAATTCATACAGTAAAAGGCACAGAAACAGGGTAAGGAAACAAAAATATGATCTGTAGTTGGTGATACTACTTTCCTTAAGTTTTGAGTCTCACTAGATTCTTAAAGAGTCCCTTCACTTGTTCTTTCAAGTTAGAGTCTCTATGTGGCTAGGTCTAGTATGTTTTATCATGTTGGTTTCTCAGCCTACAATCTGTTAAATATGTCCTTTCCATAAACTCTAGTCAACTGTTCCTTTTGAGTGTGCCATCTATTTCCTGGTGGGATCCTAAATGACAGTCTCCCAAATATTGTTAAATGAAGAAAATAAGGTGATAAAAATAGGTATGTTATGTCTCAATGGCCCTGGATTTGATTTTAAGAACTGCAAACAAAGAAGCAAACAATCAAAGTAAAACATGATTGTTATAATAATACTGATTGCTAAAGTGAGTTTAATTTTGTTAGGATAAATATTTGGAAGTTTTAAATTAGGATTCCCAAGGGATGTAGGGTAAAACATGTACATCAGTGGAAAATTGTGCACTGCATATGAATTGGAAAATAATGCATTGGATACCCTTGAAATGAAACTCCTTAGGTCATCTAATTCTGATTCTATTGAAGATATTTCACAACTATGTAAACTGTAGATAACTAGTAGCAAAGGCAAATAATTCTTATCTAAGTACATGCAATTCAGTTCTGCTTGATAGAATTTCAAGTGAAGATCTTCTCCAACTGTGAAGGAAGCTGTCTTTGTCTCCATTGGTATACTCATTTCAGTGTCCTTTATATGTGCTTTGAGTTCTCCTTTGAAACTGGTATAAAATCTGATTTTCTGTTTATGAGCTGGATAAAATGTTTAACACATTTTTGTTTTTATACTTGTGTTAGAGTAGTAATTTTTTATCTTTTTAAAAATGTTATTTTAACTATAATAAATAGCTATGTCTTTTCTGAGGATCTAACAGTAAAATAAATTGGTATACTTACATATTTTATGTGTTCATAATTATTAAATTATTTCATGAGTACATTCATTATAAGCCAATTTAAAAATATGAACTAATTTTATTTTGGTCACATTTCTTCATATAACTGATGATAGTTAATTTTGGTTGTCAGCTTCATTGCATTGAGAGATACCTAGAAAATTGGTAAGGCATAGTTTTGCATGAATCTATTTCTAATTGCTAAAGTCACTCCTCCATGACCCACCAGCAACTCTGAATGGGGTTTCCAGGCCTTTAGCCTTGATTGGGACTATATCATCAGTCCTTCTTATTCTGAGACTCTTAGCTTCTTGCAATGAAGAACTACGATTTTCCCCCAGCTCTCCAGATTATCCAGGCTCTGATGATGTAGGCCAATCTCATACATTTCCTTACACAACTATGCATACATTCTATTCCTTCTCTTTGTCTAGAGATCGCTAATATACCTTTAGTTCCAAAAATCCCTCCTGAATTTTTATACCAGAGGTCTGGATGAATTTTCAGTAAGCATGAGAGCTTAAAGTATAGTATAGTGTGAGCATAGTGAATATGAAAACACTTCAAAACAAAAATGGGGTAACATCTCTTGAAGACTTAGGCCAAGAATTTGAAAGTCAGAGATTTTTAAAAGTATTTGAAAAAGATTAAAAAAAACTTGCTGTCTTGTTACTTTTCTCATTGCTGAAACAAAGTACCTGCCACTCAAAGTTAAAGGACAAAAGTTCATTTGACTTACCCTTCATAGAGGTTTCAATCCATAGTTGGCTGGCTCTAAGGCAGAGTGGCACATGGCAGAGGGGCACTGCAGAGAAGAAACAGTTCATTGTGGGCAGATAGCACCAAAAGGAAGCAAGGGGTGGCCAGAGCTCTTTCTGTCTCTTATATCTTATCCAGGCTCCTTCGGGTAGGTAGCACTCACACCCGTAAATCCTAGTGCTCTGGCTTCTAGCATTACACTACAAATCAATTCCAATATCACTCTAGATCCAGCCACCTCTGAAAAAGCCCCACTTATGACACCACATGAGGCTCTGAGGGGACATCTAAACACAAGATATAACACTTGCTACATGCACTCTATCTTGTTAATTTATTTTCACATACTTAAAATTCCAAAAGAAGAGTCACCCTCCCTTTTCTTTTATTCATGAAGACTTCAAAGGAAGGCTTTGCACACACAGTCTTTTCTTTTTGACTGATACTTTTCTTCCTGCCCTCCTCCTCTTTCCTTCACCCAGCAAATGTTCCCAGTGCATCCACTAAGACCAAGCAAATGGCCCTTTGTGGGCTACTAGACCCTCCAGGGCTATTAGACAGTAGGGAAATCTCCTTTGTGCTTTCAGTCTTGCACTTCATACCTCTTTGTTCACACACTGCATCAGTCAGCTTTCATTGTTAGGACAAAATATCTGGCATACACAATTTAAAGGGGAAGATTTGTTTTGTCTCATGGTTTCAATCCATGGTGGGCTGTGTCCAAGGCAGAAATATCATAACAGAAGGGCACAACAGCGGAAAGCTCTCACTTCAGGGCAGACTGAAGTACAGAACAGTGGAAGACTCAAAGGGGAGGGGTAGGGACCCAATATAGTGTCCGAAGTTGCTCCTCCATAATCCAACCAGAGCCACCCTGAAGTGCGATATACTAATCTAGTTGTCTTTAAAAGTCAGTCAAGTTGACAATTAAGATGAATCAACCATCACATACATTTTCTATGTTTGTTCATCAGATTTCCACTCCAATAGTTTTCTATCTCACTCCAATTCAAAGTCAGGCTTGGAGTTTCTATGCCTCATTTGTTTTAACTTCCTCACTGTATTCTAATTATTTACTCTAACAGTGTTTCATCTCTGCAGAATACAAGTCAAACTTGTAGCTCCTCAACCCCAGACACTCCTAGGCCTCACTCACTCAGATGGGGGTCTTTTTTTTTTTTATTTTAAAGAGATTAAGACAAAACAGGACATAAGAAAGCAGATCAGAACAGAACAATGCAAGCAACACAGTATTTCACCAGAAGACAACTCATAATTAACAGTAACTACCGTAATGTTTCTTTCTTTGAAATACTTGAGCATAACTTCATATGTAATAGTATAAAACATAACAAAACAGTATAAAAACATTCAAGAGAATGAAAGTATTACAGGGCATTCAGAACCAAATAACAGAAGACAAACAATGGCTACTCTATTATCTCATTTTCCATAGAAAATTTGTTTATACTATCACACATAATACAATCCAGTAAGATACAACACGATAGAATCAGTGGAAACAGAAAACAAAAGCATGGTAGGACTTCAGAGTAAGATGATATGAACTCAGCACTGGCTATTATAATGACTTGTTTTCTTCAAAATAGTTGTTCATATCATCACACATGATAAAATCAGACAAACCAGGATAAATCTGTTCCAACTAATGAATGCAATCATTATAAACCTTCAAAGTAATGTAATGGGGAATCATGATTACCATAAAACTCTTACCATTTCTTACACTAGGGCGACTATATGGTATTTATACATTGAGTTTGATTAATTTTGCTTATGAGTATGGTCTCAAGTTGTGCCCATTTATTTATAAATATCTCAAAGTGATCATTCTTTATAGCTCAGTAGTACTCCATTGTATAAAAATATCACATCTTTTTTATCCATTCCTCAGTAGATGGACACTTAGGTTGTTTCCAAGATCTGGCTACTACAAATTGTGCTGCTATAAACATGGGTGCACATATATCATTGTGGTGTGATGTTTTCAGTTCTTCTGGGAATATGCCCAGAAGTGGAATAGCTAGCTCAAATGGGACTTCCAATCCCAACTTTTTGAGGAATTTCCAGAGTGGCCTCCACAGTGGTCATCAGTCTACACTCAGGTGGGGGTCTTTTCAACATCACTGTAGGTACTATGCTCTTTGTTTTGATCCCCTTTAGCATGCATCATCATCTTTTACACCACATTCATTAATTTATCTTTCTTGTAAGGTGAAAGTTTCGACTGTTTTTTACTGGACTGTCCACAGAAACCATTGAATAACTTTTTTTTTTAATGGAAAAAGAACAAAACGATTCAGAATTTTGAAACAACATAATAGAATAATAATAGTTAATATTTGTGTATTGCTATCTTCAAGTAGTTGCTCAGATTACATGATTTAGGCATGAAAAAATGGTCAAACAATGAAAGTACAAACCATTCTTTTTGATGAACTAACAAATGAATGAAATGTCAAGTTTTCATGCCACTAAAAGGTTACATATTATTGGCAAGCCCAGCATTTAGCAGGCAAAATATAACACATTTACAAAGAATTAGTTTCATGAGATCCCACTTGTCAAGACAAGTCAGTTCTAGGATAATTTCAACGTAAAAAAAATCGAGAAAATATTAGTTTAAGCCTTAATTCAGGTTTTGTGGAACAAACATAATTGTAGCACTCTGGGTGAGTGAGGCAGGAAGATCACAGTTGGGAGGAGGGTGTGACTCAGTGAAACCTCATCTCAAAATTATAAATAAATAAATAAATAAATAAATAAAACGTCTAGGTATGTATGATGTAAGAAGGCCTGGGTTCAATCTTTAGCACTAACAAAGAACCTAAAAATCCAACAGTAGTAGCAGTAGCATCAACAACAACAAAACCAGTTTAACAACCTTTCAATTTCTACTTCAATTCCCTGCTTCATCTCAGTTACCCATTATTCCATAGATTGGATCATAAAAGGACTTTGAACTTTTCCCTGAGATTAGACACACTTAATTTAGTGGTGGTAAAGTGCATCAGAGTAAGTTTACCATGTTTACAAGGGTTTTTGTTTTTGCCATTTTTTATTTTTCCCTTTTGGACACTTGCTAGGCCCATTTATTTTTCTCTGACATTAACAGGGCCAGGTGTCAAGAACTGAAAAAAGTTTTTCTCCATAGGAAGCGGGAGGAAGGGGAGGAGTGCTGTGTTAAGGTGGCTTCATGAAACTGCGTGTTAGAAACCGCTGCTATAATACAGGAAGGAAGCCCTTCCGCAGAATGAGCCTGCGCCAGGGGTAAAGCTAGCTGTGGTTTAACTGGGTGTTAAGAGGTGATGGGAAGGGGAGGGGGTGGCAGGAGGTCCCTCCGCCCCAGGAGGCACATTTTTGGGTGGCATTCTTGGCCAAAAGAAAAGTATACAATAATAACTTAAGGTTCTTTTGAGCTGTAGTTGATGTTAAACCAAGGTTTATTTTCACGTGTGTCTGAACCCAGCAGCAGCTTCTGTAGCCCCAGGACCGCTTACACACGGATGGCGTGGAGCTTTCCACAGGCCTCTTGCCTCTTGACCCCGCACTGAAGGACCGTCCCGGGCAGCAAGAGGTCTAGCTGTGCCAGGGCAGTAGCGCTCTGCCACATGGACAATGTTAATGGGCTCCATCCAGCTCCAAGCTTCTACAGCTCGGGATGGAGGAAAGAGAGCGAGGAGAGAAGAGGTCTTCGGGCCGATGACTTCTGAACCTCCCAAAGTGTTGACATCTTGTTCCAGACCCCAGCACCAGGGGCTCCCCGTAATGGGGAAGGCTCCGGAATTATTTAGAATAAGGCCCAGTTGGCACGCAGCGACAGCTCGCGGGTTCCCTTAAGAGGCAGCCCGGGCCCTCCCACCGGCCGGGCTGGAGGGCGGAAGGCCGGCCGGCCAGTAGGCGTGAGCGGGGCGGTGGCCCGGAGGAGGGCGTGGGGCGGCAGGCGGCGCTCTCCGGCGCGGGAGGCGGCCGCGGCGTGGCTGGCATGGCAGAGATGCGGCCGGGGCCGGCGAGCGGGTCTCAGCTCAACGCGCTCCCGGACCACTCGCCGCTGCTGCAGCCCGGCCTGGCGGAGCTCAGGCGCCGGGCCCGGGAGGAGGGCCTCCGGCTGGAGCCGCACCCGCTCTCTGACGCCTTCCTGCTGCGGTTCTTGCGCGCTCGGGATTTCGACCTAGACCTGGCCTGGCGGGTAAGCGCGCGCCCGGGGCACTCGGTTAGGCGCTGTGCTGTCGGCGTTTGGTGACGCTCCGGTCCTTCCAGCTTCTCTGAGCCAGTGAAGACTGTAAACTTAGAAAAGTACTGGAGCCTCCGGAGTGCTGACCCATCTGATCGCAAGCACTGGGACTAGCCCTTGCGCAGATAAGTCCCCGCAGCCTGTAAACTTTGAAGGGCACGGAATAATTGCCTTCTCCTCATGGTAGAAAATCTGTTTTATTAAACAGTAACTCTAAGCAGGCAGCTCACTCGTCGCATCTGAGTGGATAACTTGCGGGAAAAGTAAAATTACCAGTAACACTGAAGACCTGAAGCCATATCCTAGCAAAATATATTATTAATGATAATATTAAAATATACAGACAATAAAGCAGTCACAGATATTTTGAAAATAGAGGAGCGATGAGGTGATTCTTTTCGTATTTCCAGGTGTGCTACACCTGAGTGAGAGGAAAAGGTGGTGGAAAGGCAGAGATGCCACGCTGATTTGGCACTAGGATTCTGTGTCCTCATCTGGTCAGTAATGGGGAGGACTATTACTTTACTGATCGTTTGTGAAGGCTGAACATTAACAATTTAATAGTTAAAACAGGATGTGCCCAGCAGTGCCTGGAACCCAGTGAACACTCAGCGGTTGGATCAGATCTGGCCCTTTCTCTGCGCGCCCTTTCTCCATGTCACTGCTGAGTGACAAGAATGGTGCTGTAGCACAGAATTCCAACCTCAGCATAATTTTTATTGAAAAAGTAATGAGCATGGCAAAAATAATGCGGATAATACAAAGCAGTAAAAAAAAAAAAAATTGTTGGTGGCCGTGAGGATCAAGATTATCTAAAAGAGAGAAGTACTCTGCCCCACACCTTAGCTTGCCAGTCAAGTGCCCAGAGACCGTGCCTCTGCTTCTTATCTTTCCAGAAATAATGTATGCTCATGCAAGCAGATGTGTTATGTTTTACATTTTGTCTTTCTTACTTACTATTTAGATCATCTTGTAACAGCGTGTTCACAAAGACCTTATTGTTTATTGGGCTCCTGTTATTCCATAAGATGGATATGTTATATTAAATATTTCTGACCTGTCCTGTTTTTGTACGCAAAGATTGTGAGCAGCTAACGGTCCTCCCTGCGCTCAGTGATCGCGGTGTGCACGTTTCTGCAGTTAGCCTAGTAGTGCATAAGATGCAATAAACATGGCAGCTATGGTTTCTTCCGTCACTGAACATCCTTCATATGCTTTCATACTTCATTTTTGTGCTATATCAGTCCCTGCTTTTGGATTTTGTAATGTCTTCTATCCAAAATTTTCTCAAGAAATAGGTTTCTCTTTCATATATTGATGTCATTGATCTATTGGAATTTTTTTTCAATACTAAGGACTGAACCTACAGCCTTTTTATTATTATTTTAAACTTTTAGGAGGGTATTGTGATGTTGCCCAGGCTGGGCTTGAACTTGTGATCTTCATGGTTTAGCCGCTTACAGTGATGCATGCTCTATTTTTCCCCTTTTATTGGTGTTAGAGCTAAAATAACAAAGATTTATTTTCCATGTATTCCACTGTTATGCAAGCATCCTAGCACTATGAGTAATAAACTAATATTTATTTAGCAGCTGCTGAATATGTAGTTTCAGGTCGAATGAAGAGTGCAGTTTAAACAAAGCATATATACAAGGTGTGATCAAAATATATAATGAATTTTAAAATTTAAAATATAACTGTGAAAGACACATGGCTATTAATCCTTTTCAGAATACTCCTTTCACTTCAGGCACACGTATCTCGTTATTCTTGCCCCTTTCTGAAGTTCTTCTGTGTCATTATGAAATGTGGTAGAAATTTAGTGGATGCTGCTGCCGAGTACCATCCAGCAGAAAGATAGGTTAGTAAAAAATGTTATGGTATGTGTGCTAATTCATTTTACTTACGGAATCTGGAACTATGAAACTTCTGGCTCTTAAGTCAAAAGAATCATGAAAGGTAAATCCAAGACATCCAGGCAACCAAGACAGTGCAATTAAACGCACTTATGGAAGAACACTTTCAAAGCTACTTTAGCAAGTGGCAAGAGTGGTGGGAAAGGCATGTTGAAAGCAAGGAGGAACATTTTGAGGGGGAACATGGCCATCGTCTTTTGTGTTAATTTTAAAAAATTTATAGATCCATTGTAGTTTTCAGTCACTAAAGGTGACTAATATTAGAAGTTGTATGATTTGCAGATTTCATTTTAGCTGCCTTTGAAAAAGTAATACGTAAATAAAAAATTTACTTCCAGACTTGGTGATATGTGATGTATATCATATATATTAAATCAATCATTTCATATATGTCGTATCATATATATTTATTTATTTCTATTCTTTTAGTTGCTGAATGATCCTTTTATACAATCCCAATGAGGAATTGGCTAGCAGGACTATCAAGCCCATTAGAGAGAGACCGAGTTTCTGCCTGTGACCTCTTTGTCTTACTTTTTTGCCAACTAGAAAGGAAAGAGCAAAGCGAAAAGTGTGAAAGTATCTTTTTATTTTCTCTACAGTGGCAGTTAATTAAAATCAAATTTTCTTACTTATAATTTATAAGTCAAATAGCTTGACAGTACCTGTTTTCTCATTATTTTAGTGTTTTAATCTGAAGCTATAATGAATCAATAAAGACTTTTCAATGTAATATTTAACATGCTTATAAAATGCCTCACACTTTGGTAAATAATGTTTGCATGGGTTATCACATTATTTTTCTCATTTTAGAAGGAATTGCAATATACAGAGTAATTTTTCAAAAATGATATAGCTAAGAAGTGGTGGAACAGGGATTTGACTTAAGGTGAAACTCAGGAGAGCTTGTGCTGTCAGATCTGGGGCTGTGACCCCTTCAGTTTACAATGAACCTGAAAACCACCATGAACTCGTCATCTTCTTCTATGTGTTCTTATGGATTCCTGTATTTTACAGGCAACTAGCCTGTTTCCTATATTTTTGCGCTGTCTTACTATGGTTAGAATATAGTTTGACCCCTCCAAAACTGGTATGTACAGTTAAATGCTCACTGTAAGATATTAGGAGGCTAATGTTATTTAGGTCACCAATTATTTCTTATTTTTCTTTTGGTTTGGAAGTGGGGCCTCTTTTTTTTCTTTTGGTTTGGAAGTGGGGCCTTTGCAAGGATATTAATATTAGACAGAGGTAAGGCCATCAGACTGTGGGGAATGATAAAGAACAAAGTAAAAAGAGAGATGATAGGAAATAGAGATAGACTTCGGTAAGAGGGATTAGAGATGGGAGAAGGGGAAGGGAAAAGAGAGTAAGGAGGATCCAGGTACAATATGTGCATATACTAATAGCCCACCATGAATACACTCATTATATATCACAAACACGCACTAAAAATTTATATTAAGAGACAAGGACAGACAGTCTGTCCTTTCAGTCTCTCATGTGACATCCTGTGCTGCCAGGGACTCTGCTAGCAACGTAATCATCAGATGCTGCCACTGGACCTTGGATCAGAACCGTGAGCCAAAATAAATCTCGTCTTTGTAACTTACACAATCTGGGGTATTTTGTTACTAGCAACGACAACAACAATGACAAAACTGAGATATATGTGAAGTTTTTCATCTTTTAATTATCATTATTGTTTTCTCAAAAGATTTTGAATCTTTCAGAGTTTCAGACTCTCCCTGTAATTTCTTTTTTTTTTTTGTCTTTTTCGTTTTTATCGGTACCGGGGATTGAACTCACGACTGCCTGCTTGCAAGGCAGGCGCTTATGCTGCTGAGCTAAATCCCCAGCCATCTCCCTGTAATTTCTAAGTATAGTTTATTGTGTACAGTTTACCATATCACACATCAGTTTCAATCTTCACTCTGTTCCTGTTAGATACTGCTCTGAACCAATGTATAATTTTTCAGTTTTACTTGTCTTATTAACATAATTGGGGTAACAATAGTTACTTCTTTGGTAGTTGTGGAAAGGAATTGAAATGTTGCCATTATATTCTACAAAAGTGTCCCGAATCTGATTGTTTTGTTTGAAAATACATGAAAAGTATAGGAAGAAATTGCTATAAAGTCAAAGCATAATATTAATTATTTATTCACTTCTAACTTTTGTATGAAACACTTTCTGATAATGAATATTCATTTGTGACATTTTTTTCAATGCTGTTGTGGACATAAGGTGGTTTTAATTTCATCATTATATTTCATTTATTTACTTCCACTAGACTTGTGAGTCTATCCCTGGAAAAGCAATGACCAAAGATCTGGCTTTAGATCTTTTACTTTGCAAGATTTAAGTGTCAGAAGTGTGAAAGCACTTCATATATCTTTACAGAAGGAATTGCGCAGACCCAGAGTTGATTTACTTATGCATCAATTCATTCTCATTCGCCCCGTGTTTCCATCTCTGTCAACCCAGGAGATGAACAAGCTGAGCACCGTGCCTCTATTATAGGAAAGATCCTTCTAGTGAAGCTGCAGCTTTTATCATTCCACAGGAAAACAAGACTACTATTTATATAATGTTGCTAATGTGCTGTTTCCAGCATTTTGTTTTAACCAGAAATAAAAGCCCTCCTTTTATGTCAGAGGAGACATCAAAAAATAATGAGGATTGTGAAATGCTATTGACACTTATTCTGATGCCCCCTAGGACAGGATGAGGAAGGAAAATTCAACTTACAGAGCAGAATGAATGCCTCAGAATCTACAATGTGCCTACTGTTTTTACTGCCTTTGGAAATGTTATTTAGGTCACCAATTATTTCTCTGTTGACACATTTTTTTTCTTTCTTACCTCTCTGTTGCATTTAACTCTTAGCTATCTCCTCTTTTTCTAAAAGTTAAGAAGAGTTTCTAAAATGCAGAGATGAAAGTGAGGGAGAGAGACAGAGAGGCAGAGACAGGCAGATGATTTCCTTTGGGCACATGGTGCTGCTTCTCTCAGTCCAAGAAGCTTCTCTTTCCCCCAGGTGTTCCAGTCAGTGACATTTTCCAAGGCTCAGAAGTTCATCTTCGACTTCTGGTATTATTTCCTATCTAGATGATTGCCAGTTTATTTTTAAGAAAGTTACGTTTATTCTAAATACTTTCAAATACAAGCTGTGTCCTTCCTTTCATCTGAATTGTGGTTCTGTTTCTCATAGATCTCTATAAACTTGAACCAAATATATTGTGATTTTGGAAAAATTGAGATATATGTTTGTTTTAAAATTAGTATCTCTTTATATTTATGTGGACCTCAGGATTAAACAGTTGGCCTCATGCACATTACAATAGAATATTTTGGCAGTGCTGAGAATAAAATGTAGGATCTTGTGCATGCTAGGCAAGTGTTCTACTACTGAGCTATAGCCCCAGTTCTAAAGCATAGTAAGTTTTAAATGTATCATTTGTTTCAGCATTCTCCATAAGATTTTACCAGTGTTTGTATTATTTGAATATATGGATTAATCATTTCTGGCCGTTCTTTTAGATAAAATAAGTAGATTTCTTCAGTTGTATTTTGCCAGTATCTATTGTTTAGGTTGCAGAGCCTCTCCAGTGAAAATAAATCCATTAATGTCTGTACTTTTACTAAAGGTAGTGTTGCAGTTATTTATTGCCAAGGAATAAATCACTCCAAGCCTTATCAACTTAAATTACAGTTTGTATTCTCCAGTTTGGTCAGGGCTTGTCAGAACAGTTCAACTCTGATCCAGATGGCATCAAGTGGGAACTTGGCTGAGTTCAGACTACCCAATATGACCCCTCTATGTCAAGGGCTTCTCTTCATGTTGACTATCATTCACTAATCTTATATGGTGTCTGGATTCTTAAAGCAAATTCAGAATATTACAGACATCTTAATGCTTGGCACAGTGTATTTTTGTCATATTCTATTGATTGAAGCAAGGTGTGAGGTCAGCTCACATTTATATGGAGGAAATAAAATAGATCTTACCTTTTTCTGGAAGGAATGAATGTGTGAACTAAGAGGCAAGATTTGTGGCTGTCTTTGGAGACTACTCTCAGGAGGAACAGAAAATTACTCAACCTTTATGATTAACTCCTGTCAGCCCAGCTCCCTCATGAAGGTGTGTTCATTGGCTTTGTTTTGCTGGGACAAAATAACTAACATCTGCAATTTAAAGAAGAAGAAATTTCATTTGGCTGTAGGTTTCAGAAGTTTCAACCCATGATCGGCTGGCTCCACAGCAGAAACATCAAAGAAGGCCATGGTAGGGCACAGCTGCTCAGTTCACGGTGGCTGGGAAGCAGAGAAGGGGAACAGCACTAATTCAAGGCGGAACTGTGGAAGCTCTCTAGAGAACCTCTGGTTTGAGTCTGTCTTAAAAGATTGAAGAAACTGGAATCTAATGTCCACAGATGATGACAAAGACACACCTGCTCAAGCCGAATGGAGATTTTCAAAGACTGATTTCTGTCTTCCTCTTTGATTCCATCCAGGCTGCAAGCCTATTAGAATGGGGCCTCCTACAATTGGGATGCATTTCTTGCCTCAGTTTGATACCTGCATGCCAAACAGCTCTGCAAACACCCCACAGGCACACTTGGAAGTGTTCTTTACTAACTTGCTAGGATTTTGTAATTCAGTAAAGTTGACAATTATGATTAGTGATCACAGGAGACACTATGTTCATTTCTATAACTGAAAAGATAACTCATGCAAATTCTGAAGTAATGGATAACAACATGCAGACACAGTATCTAGGCCTTCCTTGTCTTTTTTACAAAATGCTTGCCATGCTTGTTATCTATGGACAATGTTAATTTTATTTTTCAGTTATTAAAAAACTATTATAAATGGAGAGTGGAATGTCCAGAATTAAGTGCGGATCTACACCCTAGAAGTATTCTTGGCCTTTTGAAGGCTGGCTACCATGGAGTTCTGGGATCCAGGGATCCCACTGGTAGCAGAGTTCTTATTTACAGAATCGGTGAGTCATACACAACTCTCACCTACCTTCCTTTCTTCCTCTATTTTCTTCTTTCCTTCTGTTTTTCCTTTACTACCATATTGACAATGTCACTGTGTCTTTGTTTAAGAATTTAGCTTTTAAGATTTTAGGATTTACCTTGGGTTTACTTTAGATCTTAGTATTTCCCCAATATAACATTTTGGCAGTTGTGAGAAAATTAGCAGAAACATACAAGTCTTACTTCCATTTCCCACATAGTCACTGTATAAAAGAAAAGAAAAACTGAGAAGGAAAATGGTGAAATAAAGTGAAAGGACTCAGTATTAAGCATCTAAAAAAGTCTTAATAGGAATTATAAAAAAATTCTCAACAATAAAAGTTCCAGGAGATAGCAGATTTTGCCTTTCATGTGCACTGCTAAATTTCAAGCACTATTACATGGGAGGAACTCATTAAACATTTATGGGATGAGTAAGTGAACAACTTGTTCCATAACTCCCAAGGTGAGGAGCAAAGTGTTCATACCCTTGGCTGGAAGAGAGTGAAGCAGGGTGCTCAGGACATGGAGATGGTGGCAAACCCTGTAAGACATTAGTTCTTTTTTCTTTTCACTACTCCTTTCATTTTTTAGGTGCTTCTAGTGTCTCTGTAGGTTGATGTCTTCTCTGTTCAGTAGCTATAACAAAACCCATAGGCTAGGTGGCTTATAGATAAAGGAAGTTAGTATAATTCCAGAGCCTGGAATCTCCTAGATCAGAGAGTGAGCAGATTTGGTTCTAATGAGGGCATTTGCAAAGTTCATAGGTAGACATTTCACTCAAACCTCAAAAGCAGAAGAGGCAAAGTATCTCTTCTGGGTCTCCTGAATAAGGGCACTAATCCTACTTATGAGGCCCCAGCCCTTATGGCCTAATCATATGCAAAAGGCCACTTCCTAATATCCTGACTTGGAAGTTACAATGTCAGCAGATGAATTTTGTGGGGACACATACATTTTGCTACTTCTTTAGTTTTGTGGGTGTTTAAAAATTCTAGGTAAAGAAAAAGAATTCTCACTATTCCTAGGAACCTCTTATAGCCCAGTTGACAGGACATATTTCGATCAACATTTCATAAAAATTGTAATCTTAAGGAATGTGTACTTTTTTTTTTTTTTTTTTTTTTTGAGATAAGGTCTTACTGTGTTGCTCATCTGGGCCTGAATTATCTACTTGCCTCAACCTCCTAAATAGCTGGGGCTAAAAAGTGCATGCCAACATTCCTGCTGACATTTATATCTTTAAATATTTATTCTATATATTTGTGTTTGCTACTTGCCACTAGGTAAGATTACTGCCTTTAACTGCTGCTTTCTTACAAGAAGAGTCTACATCTATTTCTATATTAGATCCTTGAGTAGAATGACTCTGGGTTTTTTCCTTGAGGTTACATATCAATAAAACTGGGTTAATCATGGGATCATCATCAATAAAATAGACATCATTCTTTACATTCATTCATCCACTAGTGTCAGAGGTGATTGTATAAATTCTGGGCAGGGAAGCTCCCTGAACTCTTTAAAGATAGAGTTTCCAATGTCTATGTTTTATTTAGAAAAGAAACCTATCTATTATAAAAATACAGGGTACCCAGTCACGTTTGAGTTTCAGACAAATAATTTTTTATTATGTATGGGGTATTCTTACACTGAGAAATAATACCATACTTATCTGAAATTCAACTTTAACTTGGCATTCTAGATGTTATGTGACAACTCTATTTAGGATCCTAAGAACATAATACTGAAACCTTCAGCTGGTTCTTCCTGCCAGTATGTGGCTGTGCAGTGCTTGACCTGGGGTAGGTAAAGAAAGAACACCTTGATAGTGCAGAAACAAATGTATTATTTTGATCATAAAATCCTTGACAGTGGGGCAGGGATATAGCTCAGCTGCACAGCACCAGGCTGGCAAGCATGAGGTCCTGAGTTTAATTCGCAGTACCAAAAAAAAAAAAAAAACAAAAATCCTTGACAGTGAACCAGTAGGTGTAATGTCCAGTCTCTTATGGTATATTAATTTAAAATGTTGTTTAACTCATGAATATTTTAAAATCAGGAAAACCATGTAGGTTCAGTGAGGATCAGAGTTGCAAGGCAGGTATTTAGCAAATCCTCCCTGTTATGTTTTTTGTAGAATAAAATGAAAAATTTGGAAGAGTTTTATGAGTGAAATAAAAGGACAGGATAAAGTTATACATATTCTAAATTGAATTAAGTTGATGGGTAGAGCTAAAGAAAGAAATCAATGCTGGAGCTTTTTGCTATAAACTTAGCAGAAGCCCCTTCCCTGTGTACCACCTGTGCAGTAAAAACAGTGAGAAAATGTAGGACAGCTCTCCCTCCACAACAGCACCACAGCTCACCATGAGACGAAGTTTTGATTCTTATCAGCTTACATGTCAGAGGATGTAATGCTGTACATTTTCAGACAAACTAGTACAGCACAAAGATGAATTTTAACAGCAGCTATGAAGTGTTGGTTGGCTTGTTCTTATGAATAGAAGTGATAGAGGGTGTTGCCTGGGTTGAAATCTCAGCTCTGACTCATTTTGCCTCCAGGGAAAGCTGCATAGCAGCAATTCAGTTTACTCATGTAAAATGAGCATAGCAGAAAGCTGTCTTACAGGATTGCTGCAAACATTCAATCTTGATTTACACACATATACCCACACATACGTAACAAGAATACTACCTGGTATATAATAATCACTTGATAAATGTTAAGTAGATGTTAGAGAATGAATTAAAATTTTAATTACTCTTGCCCTAATAGAGCCTGAAGTCTGTCCAGCACTATCAAAGAACATTCTATGATGACCAAACTGTCCCACAGTGGCCACCAGCTACCGTCACATGTGGCTTTGGGCACTTGAAATATGGCTATTTTAACAGAGAAACTGAATTATTACCTTAAATTTGAGTAGTCACAGGTAGCTAATAGCTACTGTATTGGATTGAATAGGTTAGAAAGTTCAGTTGGTTGGCTCAAAAATTTAGGCAGGAACTGTTTTCATTTGTGCTGATCATACATTTTACCGTGGTAGCGTTTAGGAGAGTCTGGATCATACATTTTACTGTGGTAGCATTAGGCAGCACGGGATTTTTGAGCTGGACTGATTATTCAGATAGTTACTAGAAATCTAATGTCTTAAAAAGCGAAGACCTATCCCCTTGTTCTTTCCTAAAAGTCCTGGTTACCCTTTTCCTAGATCGTGAGCTTCTTCCTTGTTACTAGAAGCTACCACTTAACAGTTAAAGCTGCCACACTTCAGTCATTTAAAACAAAGACTCTTCCTCAATCCCCAAAATCCTGCCACCTCCACACTCACTGTCACTCTTACTGTTTTTAGCCAGTTGTTAAATTAGTAATGTTTACCATCTACAGTTGCCCAGAGAGCCTCTTTATTTTATTCTGGTCTGATTTCCCCTCCGCCTCTGCTGAAAACACTTTCAATAATCATCAATGACTTTACTTTCACCAAATCTACCAAACATTTTTGGTTCCCTTTCACTGAACCTCTCAGAACAGTGAGTCCCTTTCTCTTCCTTTGAAATATTCTCTTCCCGTGGCTTCTCTAATGCCTGGTTCTCTGGTGTTTTCCTTTGTCAAACTTTCAGCTCCTTCATCTCCTTTGTTGGTGTCACCTTTTCTACTCATCCTCTTAAATTTTAAGTTCCTTAGCCTCTACTTCACATCCATTTTGTCTTCTTTTAACAGAGAAAAACAACGATCTAAGACAATCTCTGCCATAGATGGCTGTGTATGACAACCAACTCTCAGAATTATTACTGAGTATGATAAAAACATACAGTGAATGTATACATTTAAAACAATTATTAAAGTAAAATACATTATCATTAACCCCCACTCAAAATACTTCCTCTTGCTTTGAACACACTTATCCCATCATCCTTGACACTTTCTGAAGCAGTTCTGGAGTCCTCTGTAGTTGTTTTGGCATGGCTGCTTCAAGTCCTCAACCAATCCTAAGCACTTTGACTGAGGTAAGACCCAGAAAAATCTTACCAGATCCAGTGAATAAGGTGGATAAGAATACGTTACAATGTGTTCACATAACTGGCATTGCTGTAAATGTTTTAAATCAATCCGGGGTACTGAGGCAGCCATGAAAACAATATACTCATGAAGAGGATTTTCAGAACTTCTTCAAAAGGGAGGAGAAGGATTGATAAGCGTGGTAAAGTGGGACTCATCCCAAGTGGGATCCAGGGCAATATGCCTCTTGTTTTCTTTTCAATTTTTTATTATAATGAATGATCACCACATTCCTTGGAGGAGTTGACACATGTATATGGCATATCTTAATCCCATTACTATAAGGAATTTTTAATTTAAACATGCACTGTGTTTTTGGATCATACTTCATATTTTTACCCTTATCTTCTCTTTGGGGATCCAAATCCACAGTCTACTTCCTATTTTGGCTGTATCAAGTGGCAGTCTGACAACCACCATTTGGACATGTTCATACTTATGATTTTTTTCCACTAAAAACATACCTTTCAATAATCTTTTCTTAATAAATAATTTCACCAATCTACTCAGTTGCCCAAGCCAGAAACTTAGATTTTTTTTGAAGTTGTATCATTACTAATGAACAATCTGTCTTGTCATTTATCTGTTTGATAGTCTATAAATCAGTCTGAATACTTCACATCTTTTTTCTATTATGGAAAAAATTTACCGAGTCTTAGTATTTCTGTTTCTATTTCTTGCCCTCTATTATTCTAGATCTTGTTTTAGAAGGATATCAAAATTTCTAGATTTAGCTGTATTTGTTACTTATCTTTTTGTTCATATTTATCAATTTTTGGCTTTTTATGACAAGTTTGAGAGACCACTTCAACTTGATCTTTCAAATTCACTATTTGCCTGTGTCTTTTCTGTCACCTGTTCCATTAACTAAATTTTTTAAATTGTCTTTTTATTTCCAGGATCTCAACTGATTCTTTTGAAATATTTGCCGATTCTCATAAAAATGGCTTTCAGTATTCCTCCTCCAACTTATCACTGAGAATATTAGGTTTCCTCCAGTGTAGCTTAGTACTTTCCTGTTAGTTATTGGCATTTCTGCCTGCAAGGCCTGTTCTGGGGATGGGGGGTTCACAGGGTATGTGAACCAGGGTCTCTGCACTCCCTGAAGCACAAGCCTGTTTTCCTTTGGTATGTGAGGCTCCCTGAGTGTTTCCTAAGTTCTTCTTTCCCAAGCTTGTGGGAACTTCCTGTCCAAGTGTGTGGGACACGCATTTGCTACATGTTCCTTGTCAGCAAGAGCTGTAATAATAAAGAGTATCAACTGTCAGCTCTTCCTGCATCTGTCTGTATTGCTGAACTTTCCACTCTGTGACAAAATACCCAAGGAAAACTTAAAAGGAGGAAAAGTTTATTTTTGCTCATGGCTGCAGAGATTTTGGTCCTCGTTTACTTGGTCCTCCTGCTGCAGACCTGTCCTGAGCCAGAACATCATGGCAGGAAGCAAACATCAGAAAACTGCTCAGCTCCTGGGCAGTTAGGAAGAAAGTACAGAAAGGGCTGGGTTTTCAGTAAACCCTTGGAAGGTATGCCTGCAGCAACCTACTTCCTCCACTTACGCCACAGCTCTTATAGTTTACACCAGTTCCCAGTAGCCCATTAAAACAATGAATTCATCAGTGGTTTAATCAGTTGCTCAATGCTCAGTGCCCTCAAAATTCAGTCACCTCCCAAGGCTCTGCCTTGAACATTGCTGCACTGGGGATCAAGCCTTTGACACATCATCTCTCAGGGAACATTTCAAATACAAACTATGACATTTACAATGAGGCCCTAACTGCTCCTCATAATCCAGGCTATAACTTTTCCCATTTCTAACACCTTTGGTAAGCTTATAGTATAACTACAGGCTTCCATCTTTAGATACAGCCTTCTCATTGAGTGAAATTGTGATCTTATTTGGCCCTCAAATCAAGCCTATATCCCCCACTGCCATGTTCTTAAAAAAAAAAACACACAGAGATTTGAGGAGGAAGGGAGAAACAGGCATATATATCAATGTATTATTATTCAATTCTTTTTTTTTTTTAATCGGTACCGGGGATCAAACTCACAACCACCTGCTTGCAAGGCAGGTGCTTTATGCCGCTGAGCTAAATCCCCAGCCCCAATTATTCAATTCTTAATACTGGGACTTGTTTTTATTCCTAGTGATTACTTAAGTCTAAAAAGAATTAGTTCCATTTTGAAATCTTTCTGGTTCTTTACACAAAGCTCAGATATAATAATATTTTTTTCTTTAGCACGTTGGGATCCAAAAGTGTTTACAGCCTATGATGTATTTCGTGTAAGTCTAATTACATCTGAGCTTATTGTACGGGAAGTAGAAACCCAGCGGAATGGAGTCAAGGCCGTGTTTGATTTGGAAGGCTGGGAGTTTTCACATGCTTTCCAAATTACTCCATCTGTAGCCAAGAGGATTGCTGCTGTTCTTACAGTAAGTGCATATTTTAACTAGTAGGTATCATATTTATAAATAATTATAATTTTGGTATATTTATTAGATACTTAAAATTTTAGATAAAATATATAACTACACATAAACAGTGCAGCATCACCTTTAATAGAATAAATTTAGAAACTTTTTGTTTGTCTATAAATAGGAAAATGGTTACATAAATTATGGTATATTCATTTGAGGAGCTTTTGCAACAATATTAAAACTCATGGTGATTAAAAAATTGTATTTAATCAATGGAACACAATAGGATATAAATTATTTAGAAAATATTTTTAAAATTCTGTTTAAAATAAAGTTACAAAGAAAGAACCTAGAGAAAAAAACACAAATAAAAACTATGAAAGAAATACTTTCATAAGAAAACTTTGCTTATTAACAACATAACTTGGCTAGAGAAACTGATGAGTTTTTTAAAAAGAACTCTTTACTTTTTAAACTTCAAATAAGCCAATATTACATTGATGATAAAGATGTATACTATTTTCAAATGTTAAAAAAGTTTGTATCTATTATTATACTCTTTCAATTTCATTACACTTTTTCTTTGTACAAAAATAATTTTGGCAGAAATGTCAAATTATATGTTCAAATTAAATTACAGTTTTATGTGATTGTGTAAAGGGTTTTCTGGTGAAACAATTTCCCTCTCTGAGATATATAAAAAGTAGCATTTCTTTATTTTTTACTTAGTGCATACCTAGTTTTTATACCTTTTTCATTTCCTTCCCATTTCCTCCCTCTCCTCTGCACCCACCTTTTGCACCCTTCCTTTGTTATTGTACGTTTCAGTATGTGATATTTACATTCCTTGCACAGAGTTGGTGGCTGTGCATAACACATCTCAACTTCTCGTTTCTTAAAAGATTTTGCCTAACAAATTTTTATAAAAAGATCTGTTCTTAATATAGTGACAGTAAACTATAAGCCAGGTTTCTGTTTTGAATGAATAAATAATTTTGAAAATAAAATCTTATTTTACAGAAGGAACTTTATGAATATAATTGTAATAGTTATGTTTTATTATAAAGATGATTTTTTACTTTCAAAAGGATTCATTTCCTCTGAAAGTTCGTGGCATCCATTTGATAAATGAACCGGTAATTTTCCATGCTGTATTTTCCATGATTAAACCATTCCTGACTGAAAAAATTAAGGACCGGGTAAGTCAAACATGTTGAAGTCACTATTCTACACCAAACATTTTACCCCATTTTCTAAGGATTTATTCCCTCCCCTCATGCCAATCAACCTATTCAATTGCTTCAGTATTTATCTAATAATCTAATTTCTTTTATAAATTAATATTTATTTTTAATTTTAAAATTTAAGCACTTTTATTTTAAAGCTGATCTCTCACATTGCCTGCTATAGTGCAAAATGGTGTATTACCTTTAGAGGGCAGTGTGGTAATAGTTATCAAAAATCACAGCCTTTACAGTTGTGGGAATTTGCCTTACAGATATACACCTGTAAACAAAATCACATGTACAAGAATATTCATTGCTGAAAATATTGGGAACTACTAAGTAGTCATCATTGGTGATTGGCTAAATATATTATGATACACACAGAAAATACAAGATTTGCAAGATAAATTGTAAGGTGAAACATTGAAAATGCAGAGTGGTATTGATAGTATGCTACCTCTTCTATAAAAAGGGAAGAAATTAGAATATGTAATTATACTTACACTAAGGTTACATAAAAGAATATACAGGAAAATAAGTGATTACCCACAAGGAACAGAGTAGAGATGTAGACTGGCACAGATGAAGATAGAAATAACAGGAAAATATTTCACTGCGTATCTTTTTTTTTTTTTTTTTTTTTTTTTTTGTACTAAGGATTAAACCTACAGCCTTCAAACTGAGCTACACCTGTACATCTTTTTGTTTTTATTTTGAGACAGGTTCTCACTCAGTTGCACAAGCTGGGCTCAAACTTTCAATCTTTTTGCCTTATACTCCTAGAGTACTGGGATTACAAGTGTGCACAATGCTCAGTACTGTGTGTCTTTTATCTTATTTTGACTTCTAATCATGTCAGTGTATTATTGCACAAGTAAAAATATTTTTCTTAATTAAAACATGTAACTAAAAATCGTAATTCCCCAATGGTGTAACAATATATTAATTAAAGAAAATAAATTTGATGGGTTTTGTTTTGTTTTACCTGTCCTGTGAAAGTACCTGTGAATAACTGAATATTTTGAAGGGCTAAAATAGAGTTCTTGAATTCTAATGGCAAGCTTTCTTCTACAACAATCTGTGGAGAATTCCTACTGTATTTAGATAAACTTTGGCATCATTTACTGTCTTGGACACAAAACATTTTTTAAAAAAACTTTGACAATTCAAATCTCAAAGATCATTTAAATATAAATAATGATAATGTGAATTGTAATTTTTTAGCATTATAATAATTTTTTTCCATTGGGACTCAAATCCAGGGATTTGAGTATGCAATAGCATGAGAGGCCAGTATAGTACCTCCTCAGTTGATGAAACTGTATTTTTTTTCTTAAGAAATAATAAGCAATTAGGACCCTGGAGCTTCTTTACAGATTATCCAGATATTTGTCTTCAAGGTGAACCAACTATAAATTTTCTGCTTAAATGAAAATGGAGGCTTTTCACCACTTTTCAGTCTAGAAATCGGTAAAGGGAAGTCCATAGTTTGTTAATTTTTTTCTCTCTTCAGTGTATCTATAAAACAAGAGTTCACCTCTATTTAATTTAGAGATCTAAAAATTAAGTTTTTCTCTTTAATATTACATTCTGGACAAACAAAAACAAAAATAAGCTGAACCTAATAAAAAGACAAGGGCAAAAAAATTAAAGTTATTTTATTTTGTTTTATTTTATTTTATTTTATTTTATTTTATTTTAAAAAGCAGAACTGATAGCCAGGCATGGTGGCATATGCCTGTAATCCTAGCACTCTGCAGGCTTAGGCAAGAGGACTGCTGTGAGTTTAAGGCTGAATTCAAGGCTAGCCTGAACTATACAGTGAGACCTTGTCTCAAAAAGACAAAACCCAAGCAAAGGAGTATAAAGAACCACAAAGCTGGCTGTGGTGGCAAACACTGTAATCCCAGCACTCTGGAGGCTGAGACAGCAGGATCACTATAAGTTCAAGGCCAGCCTGGGCTATATAAGCAAGTTTGAGAGCAGCTGCACTATATAGCAAGACCCTGTCTCAAAAAATTATATTAATATTTATTTATAATAATTTTTTAAATAAAATCAGAAAGCTGGTTGTGGTTGGCACACACCTTTAATCACAGCTACAGGGGAGGCTGAGGAAGGATTGGAAATTCCAGCCCAGCCTGGGCAATTTAGCAAAACCTAGTGTCAAAATTTAACAAGAAAAGAAAAGAATAAGGACTGGGTATGTTGTTCCATGTAAAGCGCTTGCCCAGCATGTGTGGAAAACTTACAAAAAGATAAAATAGGAGGGTAGAATCAGAAACAGAGATTTCATGGAGTACATAAAAAGGGGAATTTTCCTTGGATATGTATTTGATACAGTTTAACAAACTGTTACCTTTTGAGTTTATACTTTTAAAGTGGAAATAAAACATGGTAGGCAAAACATGACATAAGCCCAGAGCTATATCTGAAATCCTTGGCATTCCCTGTATTTCTCAAAATAACAACAATGTAACTGAAGAAGCGTGTTTGTAATATTACTTGTTAACTGATGGCTTGCGTCCTTCTAACGCTTTTTTGCTTAGTGTCAGGCTGTTGCTCTTCAAAATTAATCATGCTTTAAAAGGCATGTTCTGAGCCAGGGATATAGCTCGGTGGCACAGTGCCTGTTTGGCAAGTGTGAGGTTGTGAGTTCAATCCTGGTACAAAAAAAAAATTGTCATCTTTTCTGAAATTTGTTTAAAATATATGCTTATTTTTACAATACAGGAAGAAATGAAAAAGGAGAACTAAAGTAATTCAGTAAAAATCAATTGACATGAAATAGAATTATTGAAAGTTGGGGGAACAATTAAACTAGCCTTTCCCCCCCATTTTTGAGTTATTGGAAACACTGTAAGTTTTCTTGTTTCTCCTTTCTTGAGAAGACAGAATGTATTCTCATTTAATTGATAATATTTAAATATTTCAGAAAAATGCAAGGATTGTGGTTCTTGAATACAGGATACTCATTTATTAATCATCATATCCTAGCATATAGTAATTGCTTAAATTGTTATTGATGGCACAAATGAATACTTTGACCAAGCAAGGGAATTTATTTATTTATTTATTTATTATGCACTTTTGGTTTCTTAATTTCAAAGCATTCTTTGATTTATGGTTTATCATTATTAATAGTAGTAGTGATAATAGAAATTGAACCCAGAGAGTATAAGTTACATCCCCAGGCAGTTCTATTTTATTTTTAGCCTATGTACTCATGCTGGTCTCCAATTTAGAGTCCTCCTGCCTCAGTTTTGTAAATAGCTAGGATAATAGGCATGCATAACCACACCTACCTATGATCAATTTTTAAAGTTCAAAATACTTAAAAATATTATTATAATTAACAACCATAATTATCTATTTTTGTTTAATCAAGACTATATACTGCAACATATTATTCCTTATATACCCAATTATATGCTCAGATATATATTTGTATTTACTATGAATTAATATTGAGTAGTACATTTTTGCCATGTTTTCACAAATCTTGTGCAGTTATAAGAATGCAGATCTAATAAAGTAATAAAAATTTTAGATTAACAGCAGCATAAATAAATTTTAATTTTATAATTTTAATATTTATAAAGAAAAAAGAATGTAAATACACATACATCCTCTCTTACTTTGAAAGTTATTAGAGGACTTTATAAGGCTGATTTTTTTCTCTGGAAATGTATCTAATACAGTGAGAAGGGGAGAGGATGACTTCTAAAACATTTTGGTTATTTCAGATTCATATGCATGGGAACAATTACAAACAAAGTTTACTCCAGCATTTTCCAGACATTCTTCCACTGGAATATGGTGGTGAAGAGTTTTCCATGGAGGACATTTGTCAGGAGTGGACAAACTTTATAATGAAGTCTGAAGATTATCTTAGCAGCATTTCTGAGACCATTCAATGAGAGTTATTTCATCCAAATGGTTTCCTAATTAAAAGTACAACGAAAAGTTCTCACATAAATGAAGGGTAACAAGTAAATATTTTAATTGCTGCTTGTCTTATCTTTAAAAATGTGAATGTTTAAAATACTTTTAAACCCTTTTTTCACTTTGGGGTACTTTAACGTTAATATACTCGAATAGCGTAGGAAAGATTCCCAATTTTTGCACTCAGGAAATAACAGAAAGTGATTTTTAAAGTGGCTATTCATGTGCATCTTTGTGTGTTTTTATAAAGTTTTATGTTAAGCGAATTTTCTGATTACATTTGTTTAGTCATAGATTTACAATATCTACTTACAGAAATATTGCACAAATCAAGTGAGTATAAAAAACTGTTAACACTCATTTTGTATGGGTGTCAGATTAAATTATAATATAGACCAAAATGTGAATATAGTTTTACAGATACTTCTGCAGGCCAGCAGGATAGTTCATCTCAGGAAATCCTATTGTAGCACATTTGCACAGCAGAAACTTTTGACTGGAGACTCTATATTCCATACTATTATATATAGAATCTATAGATTTATGTAAAGTTACAATTGATAACTGATTAAAATGTAATTTAGAAAATATTTCAGATAGATCATGGTTTCTCAATGCTGCTTTATTTATTTTAAAAAATCAAAAATGTAATTTTAACTCCTGTTTATGGTAATCTTGTGACTATATTACATAAATATTTAGAGTGATAATATTTAGTTATATTATACATGGAATTTTGGGTTCAATAATTAACAGAACTGTGCATAAGAAATTAAGTCATTGTCAATTACATCTGGCATTTTTCAGTTTACACATAAACTAGTTTTACTCTTATATCAGAGTATTCTAAGTCTCACAATATAACTTTTTAAAAAGTGACTAGGATGTGCTGTTTGTAGTGCAGTTTTTATGAAAGAATATTTCATTTACCAAGAAAGATATAATCTCATCTTATAGTCAATATATCTTTCGAATTATGATATAATTTTATACTTAGTATTTTTAAATGGATTTTATTTTAAACAAGAAAATGAAAGACTATTGAGTATGAAATTTGTTGAACACGTTCAGCTTGTTAGATTTTGACACTAATCATGCAGTAGTATCTTTGTACAAAGATATTTGCTATGAGCAGTGGTCTTTTTCTTCATAAGAAAATTAGTCTAATCAGGTGATCTGATACTTTAATTCTTTGTACTTATGACGATGAAACTGAAAGTAATTGTAAATGTTCTTTAGAGGAATGTGTTTGAATTTGACATAGCATTGAGAAGCTAACTTGACATTACACATTTTATAAAAAAGTAGATCCTGTCTGTTTTATTAAAGGAATTTAAAAACCCTTACAAAATTGTATAATTTTAAATCATATAATTAAAAATCATAATAGAAAAATCTCTTAAAAAGATAAGCAGTAACAATGACAGGAATCTCAAGTTTATCCAATATTTATTCTTAGAAGGATATTTATATCCTTCATTTACATTACCTTCTTAAAATAGTTTCTTATAATTCTGTGAAGGAAAAATTAGTACATGAATAAATAATAACATTTGAGCCATCTTTTAAAAGTATTTCATTAGTGATGTATTTAAGAGTAAAAGAAATTAAAGTAAGTTCATCAGTGCAGATACATTTTAATGATGAATCTTTGGAATTTTATAAAATAAAGCAGTTCTCTGAAGAACATCATATGAACAGATAATTTCATGAACTATCAAGATAAAAAACTGTCTGTTTGTATTAAATACTATGATTGTACTGGAAGTGCCTTTTGAAAGGCTAATTTCACATGTGCTCATTATGTTACTGAACTGAACAGTAATTTATTTAATATTGTTTAAAATATTAAAATCTTTCACTTAAAACACTGTGTGCAAGATTTTGTTTAAAAATATGAATACGAAGCATTCTTTTTCAAAAACTTCTTTTTCTAATTGTCTGTTATACAACTCTCTCTCTCTTTCTCTCTTTCTCTCTCTCTCTCTCTCTCTCTCTCTCTCTCTGTTTGTGTGTGTGCAGGGGGTCACACTCATCTCATACATAACAGGGAAATACTCTACCAATTGAGTTACATTTCCAGTTATCATTTCCAGTTATTTTTGTAAGTTTTAATGGAATGTTGACTTCTCCTGCTGCCTAGTTCAAAATGATCTTCCAGCCTTCCTCCCAACTAAAGGACCTTGACAGGCTGGGAAGTGCACAGGTGAGCCCTTCTTCCATACAGAGAACCCCAGGTGGCCTGGTGAGATTTGACAAGGCCTTCTTCCACCCACCTAGAGCTAAGCTTGTGAGACCCCAAGTGACACAGTAGGGTCCTGGCTAGGTTGCACACGATGGACAAGTGGATCTAGTAGCCCGAACCAGTATGAAGCTGCAGTAACAATATAAGCTAAGGGTTTGTTCACATCAATACTCCTCAGCTAGTCATCCTAGCAAGAATATAGGACTCACCCAACTGGCCCCATAAGAAGAACTCAGGTGCCTGGCCCCTCCCCTACACTGTAGGATCCAGCAACTGGGTGAGTATCAGCCACACATTAGGACAGCAAGACACACATGATGGACAGTTGAGACTAGCAGGATTGAAAACACCACAATATTAACCAAGGGGTGAAAATGCAAAAATGAAAAAGCAAAATGCAATCTCCTGTATTTGTTCCAGACATTGAAATAGAGGACACAGTAAGTCACATGCCTGAAATTTCTGAAAAGATAACAAGTGAAGTAAAATCCATGAGGTTACAGAGGAAATCAGATTAGAAATAATCTCTCAAGTAAAGAAAGAAACAATAACCTTAATGAAGGAGTTGCTCAGCATAGATAGAGAAGACAGATAAAAAGTACACGAGCATGGGAGAATGATGGAAACATTGAAAAGGCCATATATGAAAGAAATAGAATGCATGAAACATATTCAGAGAAATATCCAGGAAATTAATAATTTCCTTGAAAGCTGGCAAAGCTGCTTGAATGAAACTGAAGATAGACTTTTAAGACCTTGTAGAATCACAGAGAGTGATCATGAAAGGAAAGAACTATTAAAAATAACAAGGGACCATGAAATAACAATTCTATATCCCAAGATGATGAAAAGAAAGTCAAGACTAATGGGTGTCAGTGAAATGCAGGAGTCAATATAAATGACACCAAAAATCCCCTATTTACAGAAGCAATAGAAGAAAATTTCCCAAGCATGGGAAAATAATCTGTAGAACAGATAAATGAGGCAAATAGAACTCCAAATAGCCATAATCAAAATAAATCTATGCCCAGACATATAATAATCATAATCCTAGAAATTCAGCATAAAAGCAATACTAAAAGCTATTAGAGAAAGGAAATGAATCACCTATCAAGGAAAGCCTGCTAGAATCATAACTGACTCTCAACACAAACCCTCAAGTCAAGATGAGCTTGGAGTGAAATATTTCAAGCCCTGAAAGAAAACAACTTGCAACCCAGGTTCATGTACCCTGCAAAAATATCTTTCAAAATAATGGAGAAATAAGAAACTTCTATGACAAAGAACAAGAAGAAATTCATGTCCAACAAACTAACTCTAGAGAAAGTACTGAAAGATATACTAGATAGAGATAAAACTGACCACAATCACCAGAACAACAATGGAAACACCACCAGGCAGGACAAGCAATTAAATAAAGGGGAAAAGCAGGAAACCAACAACAGGAAAAGAACATAACAATAATCCAATACATATCAGTTATAACTATCAATGCAAGTGGCCTCAATTCATGAATGAAAAGAAACAGACTGATAGAATGGATCAAGAAACAAGATAAAATGATCAGTTACATACAACAAACACATCTAACTTAAATAGAAGGTCAAAAGATGAAAAACAATATTACATATGATAGAAACCAAGAAAAAAGAGGGTTATATATTCTGTTCACAGACAATGTGTACTTTAAAGCAAAAAATGATCAAAAGAGATAAAGAAGGTCACTACATACTTGTTAGGGGAAAAACTCCAGAGGAAGAGGTAATGATCATAAATATACATACACCAAATGTGAGAGGACCCCACTATGTAAGACAATAATAAACAGGAAAAATCAAATATGCAGTAACAAAATCATAACAGGGACCTTACAATACCCTGCTGTCAAAAAGAGATACACAGACTAGACAAAAAGCAAAGAACAAAACTGAACCAAACCTGGGAACAAGTGGACTTACTATAGGTTTACAGAGTATTCCACACAATAACATCAGAATACATATTCTATTCAGCTGCATGTAGGACATTCTCTAAAGTAGACCATAGAACATGCTTAAATAAATGCAAAGGAATTGAAATTATCCCATGCATATTGTCTGACCATAGTGCACTGAAAGTGAAAATTAATGGCAAAAGAAACTGCAAAAACTACATAAACACATGGAAATTAAATAACACCTCCATGAACAACCAAGGGTCACAGATGAAATTAAAGAAGGAATTAAATAAAACCTACAGTTGAATGAAAATGCAGATACAACATACTAAAACCTGTGGGACAAAAAGAAAGTGGTCCTATGAGGGAAATATATATCAATGAACTCTCACATCCAGAAAACAGAACAAGCACAAATAAACAACCTAATTCTGCACCTAAAGCTTCTAGAAAAAGAAGAGCAAGTTAATCGCAAAACACATAGAAGGGAAGGAATTTATAAAGACCAGAGCAGAAATTAATGCAATTGAGATTAAGAAAACAATACAAAGAATTAATTGATTGAAGAATTAGTTCTTTGATAGAATATATAAATTGATAAACCCTTGGCCAAGCTTGTCCCCCAAAAAGGAAAGAAAAACTCAATTCATACAATGAGGAATGAAAAGGGTAAAATTATAACAGAAACTGTGAAAATTCAAAGACTATCAATTCCTACTTTGAAAAACATTACATAGAATGGAAAACACAGAAGGAACAGACAGAGTCCTAGAAATGTGTAAATTACCAAAGCTGAATCAAGAAGATATAACAGTTTTGAATAATATAACATCAGCTGCTGAAATTGAAAATGTAATTAAAAACTTATCAACAAAGAAAAGTCCAGGTCCTGAGGAATTCATGACAGAATTCTACAAGAAATTTAGAGAAAATTTAATGCCAATACTCCTCAACCTCTTTAATGAAACTGAAAGGGATGCAATTCTCCCTAACTCATTCCTGGAGGCTAATATTACTCTGATACCAAAACCAGAGAAATACCTAACAAAAAAGGAGAATTACAGGCCAACCTAATGAACACAAATGCAAAAATCCTCAATAAAATAATATCAACTAAAATGGAGCAAATCATCAAGAATCATCATGATCAAGTGGGATTCATCCCAGCAGTGCAGAGATGGTTCAACTTATGCAAATCAATAAATGTAATACACCACAGCAACAGACCCAAAGACAGAAATCACATGATCATCTCAATAGACGTAAAGAACGCTTTATATAAAGGCCAACACTCATTCATGATAAAAACCCTACACAAAATCAGAATAGATGGTTTTTACCTCAATTTGATCAAAGTCATCTATGACAAAGCAACAGCCAACATCATATTAAATGGATAAAAACTGAAAGCTTTCACTGTAAAATCAGGAATAAGACAAGGATATCCATTATAATCATTCCTATTCAATATAATTCTGGAAAAATTAGCCAAAGAGATTAGACAAGAGAGAGAAATTAAAGGAATAAGGATAGGAAAGGAAGAAGTTAAATCTTCATTATTTGCAATTAACATAATACTTTTTATAGAAGACCTCTAAAACTCCACTCAGATGCTACTAATAAGCAAATTTAACATCATGGCTGTTTAAAAAGTGAAGACACAAAAATCAGTAGCATTCTTGTGCACAAACAACAAACTCACTGAGAGAGAAATTATGGCAATCACACCTTTCAAAATAGCATCTAAAAAATAAAATACTTAGGAATCAATCTAATAAAGGGTGAAAAGATCTATATATTGAAAAGCATAATACTTTGAAAAAGGAGATTGAAAAGGATATTTGAAAATGGAAAGATATCCCTTGCTCTTGAATAGGAAGAACCAACATTGTGAAAATGAGCATTACTCTGTTATACAGATTTAATGCATTCCCTATTAAAATACCATTAGCATACCTGACAGTAGAGAAAAACGTTCCTAAAATTCATATGTAATCATAAGAGAACTAGAATAGCAAAGGCAGTCCTGGGAAACAAAGGTAAGGCAGGAGGCATCACAATCCCAGACTTGAAGTTATATTACAAAGCTACTGTGATAAAATCAGCATGGTATTGGCAAATTTAAAAAAAAAGTCTTGCGAATCAGTGGAACAGATTAGAAGATGCACACACAACTGCAAGATGCTCAGCCACCTTATCTTTTACAAAGGGGCCAACATGTTCACTGTAAGAAAGATAGCCTCACTAATAAATGGTGCTGGAAAAATTGGTTATCTACATTCTGATGACTAAAACTAGACACATGTCTATCATGATGCACTAAAGTCAAAATGCATCAAAAATCTGAATATTAAAACAGAAATGCTAAATCTACTGAAAGACAAGATAAGTAATCTTGAAGACACAGGGGTAGGCAAAGAGTTCATGAACAAAATGCAAACCACAAGGGATGTACTTTAAAGAATCAACAACTGGGATGTCATCTTATTAAAAACGCTTTTGCACAACAAAAGAAATCACCAACAGAGTGAAAACAAAACCCACAGAATGGGAAAAGTTTTTAGTCCAGTGTCCCTCAGACAAGGGATTTTTATCTAGAACACACAAAGAATTGAAAAGGATCAGGTCCCTCAAATTCAAAAACCCAATCCAAAATAGCCATCTGAGATGAACACGCATTTTTCAGA